TATCTTACAAGGAACTTTTGGACAAACATCATTACAACAGGGTGTGAATACAGGGGTGCTTAAGGGTCACAAGCGCACACTGACATGTGACCACAACCTGAGCAAATCTTTTTTTCCGGAGAAATCCTAAGTCCCAGAGTGTAGAAGCAACGCATCACTTTGTAATGCCGACAGACCCATCCGATTCACATGCAGGCTTCTCCTAGAGGCATTTTGATCAGTGAGGGCTCAAATCCCCTGATGCTACCTGTTCCCGCCAAAATAAAATTCACAAGAAGAAAACAAACCACTCATGAAAATGAGAGAAACACCCAGCAGACAGGGACGCTCTATTTATCGAAAATTGTTTACCGTAAATATGAGGCCGTCATGTAACACGGAAGGGATTATTTAATAACGAGAAAAGAAAAAGTGGCCAAAATTTGTGCAAAGCATTTTTAAGGCCCCCCTTTTCATGAACTAAAGCAGCAAGCGGATGAACTGTGAGATGAATGACACAATCACTTTCAATAGGATTTACCAGTTTCACTGTCACCCTCTTTTTCCTCTTTCCTTTTCACTTCCATTTCCCCCTTCCCTGGGTTCCCAGCTGTCAGTCTCTGGGCTACAGTCCTCCTGGATCATACAGAACAGAGTCAAACACACTGAACAATCACTGGGGCAATGAGCTTGGCGTCTTCTTCTTGATGACATCCTGCTCTCTATGGTGTTTACAGTCCAGAGACCCCACGGAGCCTCCCAGATCATAGACACTAGGGATTCTGATTTCAGTGGGATATTTCCCCCCGTGCCTCAGTGACACAGGCTGAGCTGGGACCCGCCCCTGACCCAGAGCCAGGGGTGGATTCTCTCTCCAGTGAAACAGGCTGGCGGGAAAGTGAAGATTGGGGCCTGGTTCTCAGCATCAAAAAATGCCAGCTGCCCCCGTTCATAGTCCAGACAAACCCGGATCCTGCTGGGGCCGCACCTCAGGGTCAGGGGAATCTTTGGGGAGGTGAGAACCTGGTACTGACCCCCGTACAGCCTCACAGCCCAGATCCCCACCTCAGGGTTTAGGTTAGACATGAATTCTCCCTTCCTGCCCACAGATGCTCTGGCCACCCCCACAGCCCAGTACTTCCCATCCCCCGCCTCTACCTCCCAGTAATGGCTACCCGAGGTGAATCCCTCACAGCCCAGCACACAGCACTCATAATCAAATCTCTCAGGGTTGTCAGGCAGATCCTGCTGGATGTCTCCCTGCCTCACACTTTTCCGATCCTCAGAAACGATGAGTCGGGGATGAGCTGTGTCCGGATTCAGAGTCACATTCACTGAGGGAAGAGACACATTCAGAGCGTTAGGGGCAGAGCTCAGCCCTGGTGTCAGGTTTGATCGTGTGGGTGACAGAATCTTCCCCAGCTGGGGAGTGAATCAGAGAATCTCCTTCCTCCAGGATCAGAGGTGAAAGTAAGCTGGTACGGTCCGGTACGGCATACCGGCAAGAGCCAGTACGCCATGCCGGGCTGGACCGGCTTCCACGGCGGTGATTTAAAGGGCCCAGGGCTCCAGCCACTGCGGGGAGCCCCGGGCCCTTTAATTCTTGAAAGGCCCCACCTCTTCCAATTGAGGCCACGCCTCTTCCGGTTGAGGTCACGCCCCCGCTCAGGACTCCAGCGTACCGGTAAGTCCTTTAAGTTACTATCACCCCTGTCCAGGATTTACCCATCAGCTCTGAGATCTTAGCAAAGTGCAGAGGACATTCACTTCCCTGAGAGAGATAGGTGAGTGGCAGAGTGAAAGGATCAATGGAGCCAGACCTGAGGTTCAGAAACTTTCAGATCTTTTCTCCCCACGGAGGTCCGGAGGACCCTGTTATGTAGGGAATCTGTGTCCACTTCTTCCCAGTGCTCACTGACGTGAATGACTCTGCAGTAACCCCTGTCTATCTTCAATCTCACTGCATCCCAGCCACCCCTTTGTTGGCCTGTATTACCGCGCGGCTCCACCCAAACTTGCTTGCTTGAAAAACGCCACATGTCTCAAGTGCTTCAGTCTTAGACAGCAACAGAACTCATGGGACCAGGATTTGCGAGGTCCCAGATCTCACTGCTCTGGAGCAGGCATAAATTCCATAGTCTTTAAGGATCATCACAAAGATATGATGGCTCAGAACTTAGCCCTTCGGTAGGGAGGATGTGAGGAAGGTTCAAAAAACAAAACAGACAAACAACAGATAGATTGGGGAGGACTCAGAGATAGCACTGAGGCTGGTAGTAGAGCCCTGCGCGGGACTATTTTTTTAATCCCGTCCCTCCCCGCAATACCCACTCCCACCTGTTCCTGCATTGTTTTTTGCATTTTTATCCCCCTCCCACCCCCCAAAACCTTAGATCCTGCAAGTCCCTCAAGAGAAACAGATTCCCCTGTGCTACTAAAAAAAACCCCCAAACACCAGCCAGTTAGTATATAATATACACCGGACCCTCGCTAGAACGCGGGATTTGGGATCCATGCGCGGGGACCGCGTTAAAATGAATTGCAACTAAAGTAATTAAATTTGGGATCCATGGCCGCAACCGCGTTATATGCAAATGCGCTATATAGACGCGCGTTCTAGCGAGGGTCCGGTGTCTATACATAAATGGAATTCAGACACAAGTTTTACCACTAAAAGAATCAAACAAATCTTGTTCAAATCATGTAAAAAACACTTGCACTCCGGTTATAATAGACATCAATCTCTTTCTATGCCTTGTTTGAGAAACTGGTGAGAGATTTAGCGTTTTCCCGCACATTATCGCAGGCTGAGTTTTCTTGCCCATCCAACCCTACCTGCAATAAAGACCATTTTACCCGCTCCTGTAATTATGGCAGTGGGTCCGGCGGGATCCCAGTCCTGCTGCGGGGTTCTAACTGGTAGTGCGCATGCAAGAAGAAGAGCTGCTGTGACATATTAGAAATAAATGGAGATATCCCATCTCCTAGAATTGGAAGGGATCTTGAAAGGTCATTGAGTCCAGCCCCCTGCCTTCACTAGCAGGACCAAGTACTGATTTTGCCCCAGATCCCCAAGTGGCTCCCTCAAGGATTGAATTCACAACCCTGGGTTTAGTAGGCCAGTGCTCAAACCACTGAGCTATCCCTCCACCAAGGGCGATACTATGTTCTGATTGGACTCAGCTACAAAACCTATCGGTCCTCACGGGGCCCTGTGAAATACAGCATGTCCTGCCCTGCTCCAGTCACACATACAAGGAAAAGGGGCAACATTTTCTCCTGAATGGTGGGATTTGAACGATGGTAATATATTCACTTTACTTACCTGGGTGTGTGAGGACTCGTCTCCATCCTGAAACCAACCACATAATCAGAGATGAGAAACTGACTGAACAGATACTATACCAATAGGATTAAATATTGCAGACAATTATACATTGGAAGGAAAATGAGTGGTCCTGAACATTTACCATAATATGAATAGTAGAGCTGGTTTTAAAATGGAATTTCCATCCTACGGGAAGTTCCAATATTTCGACTTTGTTTTTGTCCTGAGTTGAGGCCAATACGTTGGAATATCAGAACTTTTTGCAGAACAGCCCATCCTGACATTCCTGAACCAAAACAAAGGATTTTCACCTGAGACAAAACATTTTGTTTCAGGTGGGTTTGATATTGATCTATGGCAGCTTGGACTGCTGCAATGGCTCATGGGAGTTGTAGTTCAGGTGCCTCACGTCCCAAGGATCACTTAGAGGAAAGACCACAGTGCATCATGGAAGATGTAGCGCATGGAGGAGAATGTGCAAATTAGGCTCCTGAACTAAAAATCCCACAGAACACTGCAGCGGCACAGGTTAATGTAGACCCAGACCCAACTCAAAACAAAATAGTTCATTTTGATTTTCCAGTGGGAAAATCTAAACGTTTTGGCAGGATCAACACCATCCTATAGGAAATATCAATTTTCTTGAACCCATAATTTTCCACATTTAAGCAGACTGGTTTCATTATCGGAATTCCCATTAACTATATCAATAAATATTATAAATTATTATCACAATTTGCTGACTGATGCACTAAAATCGCATTGGAAATAGCTTGATGACAGTCTAGTTAAAGTCAGGGGAAGTAGTATTAGATCCTTAATCGTTGTTTTAAAAGATTTATAGCAGTACTGGAAAATAAAATTACTAATGTTCCTATTTGAATACATTTCTCATGCATTATTTCTTTGGGGTCGGGATTTTCAAATGCACCTAAGCCAGGGGCGGACAAACTTTTTGGCCTGAGGGTCGCATCCGATTTCTAAAATTGTATGGAGGGCTGGTTAGGGGAGGCTGTGCCTCCCCAAACAGCCAGGCATGGCCTTGCCCCTGCCCCCATCCAATCCTCCCCCCCCGCTTCTCGCCCCCGCCAGACCCTCCCGGGACTCCTGCCCCATCCAACCCTCCCGTTCCCTGTCCCCTGACAGCTCCCAGACCCCCCCACCGCCCCATCCAACCCCTCCCTCCTTCCTGACTGCCCCCCTGGGACCCCTGCCCCATCCAACCACCCCTTCTCCCTGCCCCTGACTGCCCTCAGAACCCCTGCCCCTGACTGCCCT